CAAGTAACTCGAATAGTTTCAAGCTACGCTAGGGGCTTATATTCAAGAGATGTAGTAACTTGGATAAGCATTTAACAAAATATTTAATTTAGTACTATGTACCTCGAAATTTATAACATGAAGAAATTTTATTTATTAGCAGCGACCCGCCATGGCTTCGCAAGGGCGCAAGGCTGATACAAAATTTATCCACTATTCTATATAAAACTTCCTTTTCTCTCTATTCTGTAAAACTCTATTTAGTAAAAAACCCCGCATCAAAATCTGTTGAGTAGTTTTAAAAATTAAAGCATAATAGAGATATCTGTACAGAAAAAGCGATATTTACAGATTAAAATTATGTTTCATAAAGTCACTACTGTAATAACTCTCTGATCGTTAAACCTTCAAGTTCATGTCAAGTTAAACCATGCTTTGATGATCAAACTCCGGACGAGCGATGTTTAGAAGGTTTTTCAAAGATTCATAAGATCCAATTTCAGACAACTTTGTACTTTATCTCAGAACAAACTTGTTTGGGAGTGAACATGAGCAACTAAACGAAAAACTTTGTATAACACTTTTTTTTGTAAAAAGCTGTTTGATGTAAGGTTGTACCTAGTTTGTTGGAAAAAACCTAAGTACCTTGCTGAGTTTTAGTTATTTTAAGCAAGAGCCTTTTAAACGATCTGGGTCCTAATACCCCTGAAGTAACGGAAAATAGTTTAACTTTGGACAAGAAACCTAGTTTGCGATGAAAAAATAAAAAAATTTTTGGTCCTTAGAGTCTTACAAACACTGTTGTTTATACATAGTTTTTTGCCCTTGTTAATCCGTTTATCCTATTTGAGTAATGGTAAGTGTTGCGTTTGTTATTGACAGATGTTTTAATAATAATAAGGTTTCTATTACGTTTTTGCTGTTTCTAGCATACAAACCAAGTCTTATTTGCCAAAATGAAAATCACCTTTATAAAATTATCATAAGGTATATAATCCAATTCCTGCAATCACTTTACGTTATCAAATATATTGAGGTCCCAATCGAATGGCCTACAAGTATCGTAATAAACTCAAACCCAACTTTCTCTTTTCAGATTCATTACATAATGCCTCGTTGGTGCTCGCATCTTATAAAGGACCAAACCACCATACCGTTTCGGCTACAAACTAAAATATATCTTATTCTTTTTTATTTTAATGTTATTTTCTCAATTATTCACATAACATAAATATATTTTTATTTGGCCTAACATTTTTTTGTATATAAGACCATCTACTAGTAGTTCACTACTTAACATTGGACTTATCAAGTTTAAATTATATCTTAATAAACATGCTAATTGCAACAAAAAATATAAGTAGATAAATACTACATGCATAGGTAGAGTAAAACTGACTTATGGAGAAAAAGTAAGATCTAATATAACAAAAAAGAAAATCTTAAGAACAAATAAAAATCTATTCCATTATTTCTGTAATAATTGATAATTATCAAGATTTCATCGTTATCGTTCAGATTTTCACAATTAACTTTTCCATTCATTTTCATAAATTAAAATAAACAAAACGTTTAGCCCTTAAGCTATTAATTAAATACATAACCGTAGGCAAAATACATAGTCTCGTATACGAGGGAAAAGTAAGAAATAAACAAGATATTTTTATCTCCTGTGGGGCTCACACGGCCCTGAGACGGCAAATTAGACAGATATTCCACCTACGGGTTATTTCGACTAAATAACACGCATATACAGGAAAATGTGTCACTTTTATTACACACTTACACACGTGTAAAACTTTGATTAATTAATTTGAAACATAGCTAGCCTTTTGTCTTTATTTTAGCCTTTTGCCTTTACTTATATATTGCAGGTACACAGTTAGACTAGGTAACTCTTTTTTAGGAAATTGTAAGGGATCATAATATTATTTTTCATGTGTTGCGATCTGTAACATAATGCTCTCAATAAAAAAATGATAACTACATACTAATTGATTAACGCGCAAGTTTCTTAGAATGGATTATTGGATGTTTGTTAGTCTTTCACGTAAAAACTACTTAAGGCTAATTTTTCAATAGTCAGATACATGTTATCTGAGGAATAAAATTGTTGCTGTCACTGTCTTATACAAACTTTTTGACGCGACAGCATCATAATTATTCCCCAGGTAACTATTATCTAACCATTGAAAAATCAACTATAAATGGATCCGAATGAAATTAGTCATAGTGGTGGATTATACTCTGGAATAACACATGGGCTACCTTTTACTCAAGTACTTAGGCGAAGCCGAAGGCAACACCTAGTGTTTTATAATAAATCTTAAAACCAAGCTAGTAATATTAAATGTAATTAAAAAATACTGAGAACGAAGATAAAGTTACACTTTTATTTTAAAAATAACAGCATAACTTCAATAATCTTTAAAGTGACAATTTAAGCCGGCACACTTTGTTCAACTTCAACTTTTACATAAAATGAGCCACAAAACGTGAAACATTGGTATGAAGATAAAAATATCATAACGAGCACTCGACGTCATTAAAAACAAGTTTAGAATTGCGTAACAGTTATTAAATCCAATTCATTTTATATTTTACGAAAGCTGGATAAATGAATAGAAAAATTATGAATAGTGTCCGTCTCTGTAGCTTACTGGTTTACTAATCTGAGTCAAGATTTCAATGCTTGAATGATATTCTTGACGTTTCCGTTTAGAGAACTAAGGGCTGTTAGGGGACTATTTTATGATGTATATTAATAGGCAGACTATTTTCAATAGTCAGATAAATGTTATCTGAGGAATAAAATTGTTGCTGTCACTGTCTCATTCTGACCCGACAGCATCATTACTGTTCCCTTGATAACTTTTATCTAACCATTGAAAAGTCAGGCTTTAATAGATTCATTAATTTCATTAATACTGAGTAACGTCTAGTGTTGACATACGCAAACATATCAGAGCTGATAAGATTCAAAAACAAATTCTTTGTCTTCAAAATCTTAAAAGTTATATTACCTAAGCATTCAATTTGTTGTCGTTGGAAACCTAGGTTTTAAGGGATGGACAGGGATAGGCGTAAAGGTTTCATTTTAAAATAAAAATAATCAAAGCACCTACCACCACCTTTACTACCAGAAAGTAACAAAACAGCTACAGAAGACGTACGCAACGTTTGAACATAATCTTTGCCAGGGTTGCGGTTGGAAGTGCATTAGTGTAAATCTGGCCTAAAGCAGGAGATGGAACGAGATGGTTATTACTTAGTAAGAGTCTGACACTCCCTCCCACCACATACAGAACAAGAGAAAGAGAAGTCTTTTGATGATTATGCCGTATCCCTAATGGCGAAGTCTTGGCAACCTTTCATAAAATAAAAAAAGCGTGTTAAAATAGGGGCAATGGATACATCTAAATATTTAATTATCGGATATCTAGAATGTTTAATGGGGAAGGGTACAACAATACCTTTATCATTTTTATTAATATTCCAAGGTTGCACGTAAGCTTTATAGCGGCAAAATATAATCAATTTGAGCAGGTAAACGCAACAATATGTATATATATTATATAATTAATTACACAAACACATAGTGTATCTTAGCCTTGAATAACAAGTGATACAAATGTAAAATATTCTGCGGTTATTGGATTCTTAGAATAGCCTGAGTTAGTTTCCTGTTCAATTTTATTTAAGTACCTGGTGTAACATATATTTTAAAACTACATAATATAAACTTCTTACTTTTACTTATAGAGTACTAGCTTGTCCTTTCTCGAGTTCCAAACTATGTCTGTGCCAGATGTCACAGAAATCGTTTCAGTAGTTTAGGCGTAAAGAAAAGACAGACAGACAGACAGACAGAGTTACTTTCGCATTTATAACACTAGTTTGGATATCATGTCTGTGTATAAAATCTTTACAGACTCAATATTAGCAGAGGAATTTATGCGTTTTTTTTATCCCTAGTGCTATTTTTCGATTTTGAAGGAAAATTGTAAAATGTTTCTGCTTTTCTCACCATTAAGGGGACTGTCTTCAGAGACAACTTTAACTTGGTTAACCAGAATAGCCGGGACATGGTTCGTTATCGGACTTATCGATAACGAACCATGTCCCGGCTCTGAGCAGGTTGTTCCTTACATTACAGTGTCAATTTTAGTCAGTAAGAGTCTGATGGTCCCTCTCTCCCTACTCAGGGAGGGAAAAGGTGTTCCATCCTCAAAAAAACTCTTCAATCCTAGCACTTATGAATTCTTCACAACGCAAACTACCTCAGTATTAATAAATATTTTTCATTGTACCGTACAACAAAAGTCCATCCTAATTTGATTTTGTCCATTTCGAAAAGCACATAGAACAAAAATCAGGATGTGACTATGATTATAACGGGGTTTAACGATGTGCAAACGCTATGACACGTGTTATCCGACCGTGACAATTGATGTATTATGTTTTACATAGCAGTTATGTTTAGCAAAACCTGCTAAATACCCATGGGAATATATACCTTAATACTTTAAGAATAAGGGTGCTATAAAACTGTTGTTAATTAGTTGAGAATATCAGGTTGAAACCACAGTACACGTGTAACAATTTACCTTCTGTACTTGTTTTGGTTGATCATGATTAACTTTAAAATTTTTACAAGTTATTAAAAATACCGTTGAATAAGATATTATTGTAAGGGTTTTATAGAAGAATAGTAGCCCTACTATGACGAGTGATGGAGCAAAACGATGTATAGCTCCATCCCTCACGGTCATGGTAGGCCATCAGTTCAATGATTATCCTTACGAAATTTACTTTTGTTTTCGTTTTAAGCAGCAAATCCCAAACTCTTTCGAATAACAATGGCGGCGCTCATAATAGGTAATGAACTGCGTTCTAATTGAGCAATAAAGGATAATTCATGATAATAAATGATTGATTGATTGATTGATTGATGATACAGTTTCAATTCTTAATCATGTCCTCATTTAAAACGTACGTCGGTTGGTAACATTCCTCTCGAAACCCTTTAGATGATTCTTAACTTAAATTTGGTGAATGCCGTACCGCCTCAAATATAACTTTAATCCTTTAAACCTTCCCTGAACTTCAACGAATATTTGAAGTACAAAATTATCCAAAACGGACCAGCCGTTTTCGAGTTTTAGCGTGACAAACGAGTGTGAGTGTGAAACAACGTGTTCATTGTTATATGTAAGGTTGACTGACCTGGTACTTCTTGATTGAGTCCATTTGTTCCTTGCTAACGTTGTCATGTGCGGGTGGGCGGGGCGGTGCATCCCGCGCACTGTCGCGAGGGGGCACCGCTGGCGCCACCGTCTTCGCCGTCCCATTCACCTGCTGTACATATAATTGAGAGTTAGAAGGAGAAATGGGAGAAGAAAAGAGATTGAGATTGACAGAGAGAGAGAGAGAGAGTTGAGAGAAGAGACTTGATAAGTTAGAAGTGCTGTATGTTTATGGATCATGTGCAATTTCTTTGAATTGTGTTACTTTGTATTTCGCTTAATAAAATATTTCATATTAAAATTATTGTACCAAATGATTTTGCACAAGACCCATAAAATAAAACATTAATATTGTCTCACATTTTTTTATGAATATCTGCTCTGTTTTCTCGTTCAGGAATCGAACCTGAATTCTCTTTAGGGGGAATGGAATTAGCGCTAAGTGCATCAAGAGTAATATCAAACTACTTTAAGTACTTTAAAACTAAGTAAATTGCTGTTATTATTATAAATACAACACTTATTTTTTTACAATTAATATTTCAGATTTTTTTAATCTGTTCAAGGAAAATAAACTTAGTAAATTCAATAAAAACTCTGGTTGTAAGAAAAATCCTCTTTAGTTCTCATTTGAATTCAAAACTCAAATCTGAACTGATATCTAATATTCTAAGAATAAATATTTTAAATAACAACTACGTACATAATAATATAATAAACCCTTTAACACATGCTTCACCCAATTTTATAAATAAGATTATACATATTTCGCTGAATCCTTTAAAATTAAAATAATATAAGAATACCATCCTAAACATATGGAATACAACCAAAGCGACAAAATGCAAGCCAATACAACCCATTTTATGAATCTCCATTCGTATTTATTTAAGAAACAACATTAAGTTAACTATTTTTAAACCAATTTAAGTATAGTTAGTAATCTCCTGGTGGTGAAAATATGGTAAATCATAAAAACCTCGGTTAACATAAATTACAAGGCATTTCATGTCTCAATTAAGAATAAAACAATTTCGTAATCTTTCTCAATCCAAAAAGAAAATTAAAGTGTTTTTGAAGGTTCATCTTTAATAATTAAATACTCAAATTATGAGTTCTAAATAAATAAAAATAAAAAAAAGTTCTGTCTATGACAAACTGCTGTAATAAAAGACGTTTAATTATTACAAAAACTATTCCACAGGCGCAATAGGTTTTAGTCAGTATGAGTCTGCAAATCAATCATGTCCCACCCTGAGATGAGAGAAGACAGTTGAAGATATAACATCCCCCCCCCCTCAAAAACAAAAAAGGCAACGAAACTAAAACAACATTTAAAAGACAGTTAAGTTAACCATCGAAGGATTCTATACATGGATTTTGGCACCATTTCCAAAAAAAAAAACATCCTTATATGATTTTTTCACCACTCCTAACACCCATTGAAGACATGCATTTTAATCCAATTATAATAAATCTCAAGATACATACATAATATTCTTATTACTATCCACACAGAGGCAAACCAGTCACACTTTATAAAAATAAGTATTCTCACAAAGAAAATCTTATGAGAAACAAAATTACCTAATAATATCACTTGTTTTACCTCCGTGTCTAGTCTTGCAAATTTATGGCTCAAGTTCTAATGTACCATATTTTCTTTTTAGTCGTAATGACAGGAACGAAATTGTGAAATAGGTATTTTGTTTGAAGTTCTTAACATTTCCTTTTAATGACTTTAAGAATGTGTTTTGTGACTGTTCTTTTTAATGTATTTAGTACCAGCGTCACTGTCGTCAGAGATAATCTTCTACAAATTGAGTATTTGTGATGTTTTTAGCTTAAAATAGGATTCAACATTATTATTATGATTACAATACGGCTATTGCTAAACAAAAATGACCATGACGTGACTAACAAAAATAGTTTTCTAAAATAAAAACTCGCGTATCTTTAAAAACACGTTTCAAAATGGTCGGATTAGAAATTGAGCCAACATTCTTAATAAAATAACAATCAATACATAATATTTTTCAAAGTACCTTTCATATACTTATAATTTAACCCAGTTTATGACATGCAATTATTTAGATTATATAGAAGAAATATAGCTAGACATATATTTTATTATTCATATAATATACATAATTAAATACTATTAAAATACTAATATTAGCCACCTGGAAAAGAAAAGATATTAAGGAAAGAAACATAATTAATACAAATTAAGAATTGTACAAATATTTAAAAGATCAGTTTGTTTCTGTTTTTGATTACGATCCAAATAAAAGTGATGAAAAACTCATTTAAGTCCCTTTGCCCCAAGATGCGTAATAATTTCATCGTTGAATAAAATATAAAAACTAATATTTAAGAAAAACTCTTTCTAAAAAAATATCAGGCCTTGAAGAAAAGTAGACCTACTGATCAAAGTAGTTAATCGATTATTTACTAAAATTGTAATGTATGAAATAACGGACTTGTCTATCTTGGAAATACATTAGAAAATATTAATTAAAATTTGCAACCCATAATATAAAGTATAAGATCATTATAATACTTATTTTATGAATAAGAAATAAAGTTCTTATAAATTTAAGATAAATCTGATAGATTGTATAACGGTAAGATGGTATAGATATATTTCAAAGTATTAGATGACCCTTAGGATACAGCCTATTCAGGTTAGATTATATCCTCAATTTAAGTATATGTATGAAATATTGAGGGTACGTGCCTAAGGACCATCAAGGGCTGAACAATGCTTAAGGTACTGCGGCCCTGGAGTGGACCAGGGGTAGAAAGGAAAGGCATTTTTAGTCAGTAAGATTCTGACACTAGTGTTCTTAGAACAACTCTCGTTCTTAGGACAACTCTTTTTTTCTATACTTAATTGGATTGAGTTGCATCACACACTCAACAAGGAGGTCAATTATGAGTATTTATAAGAAATAGCATAGATACATGGGTACAGAATCCATATTGTTTATAAATATAATAAAAAGAAATAATAATAATAATACGCAGCAGCTTTTTTTTACTGTAATTTTTCCGAATGTTCCAAATACATATGAACTTTGAAGAAACAGCCAAATGCGATACGAAAATTTAAACTTTAACGAATTGTTGTTCGAAATGTTCCAAATTTAATTTAATGTCCATAGACAGCAGAGCGTTTTAGTGCGAAAAGCGTGATTGATGATATGGATGATAAAGATGAAATATCTGTTAGGTGTTGTGTAGTTAAGATAAAGAATCGTTTAAAAAATAACGAAGATTTAGAATTGCCTTCATCGAAATTAATTTATAACTGACTTTGTTCTCCATTGATGATGATAACAATTAATATAAAAAACTAGCTTACAATATTACTAATTTGAAATATCATCACATTATCATTATTGCAATATTCATTAAAATAAAATAAACAACGTTTCCTTTCGAAACTACTAGAGTGACAAAAGAAAACGATGAAGACGATGAGGTTGGCACAAAATTAAAAAATGAATTACATTAAAGTTTATGTAAAGTTCTTGTTAGAAAAGAGAATAATAACAATAACACTGAAGGTATTTTAATACTTGAAGATAATAATGTCGTGATCTAAGTAACAATTGAACGCGGTGAAGGTGAGTAGAATGTGCGTGAGGTTCATACCAACAAGCTGGCAATTGTTTATCTTGACGGTAATTTAGATAAAGATAACCTAATCTCTATAGAGACATGTTGGCTTCTATCATTAGAGATCTGGATAGAGTGACATTCTAATTTAAAATTTAGAAATATCCTGCATGTGTCGCAGTTTTAATTTTCAAACGGAGCAGAGTTTAGTGTGATTCACATTACATTGTTCCGGATCTAAGGGCAATGAGCAAGTAAGTTTGGAAGTAGCCAGGTGCCTACAAGACACAAAATAAATAAAGTGTAGATAAGAAAACCTAATTTAATCTTATATTCAACTGGTATAGACCCTTGTGGACAACGTATAACTATTAAATATTGACAAATTTATTAAATACCAATATGCAAAGAAAATCTTTGTTTAAAATGCTCGTTTAGGAAAATATAGTTGCGACGGATAGTGGTGAATGATTAACACGTACCAATACAACTTTATCCACTTTACATGATACTGTTAGTGACTTGGTTAGTAACCCTATAACGAATTTGATGTTAGGTATGATAATGTTAGTTCCTTTCCCATACATCTAATAATCATCTCAGTTCAGCAGTATAATGCCGATATGATAAGAAGCCATTCAATCTTTGAATATGATTACAATTAGGAATGTATTAAACCAAATGTTTCTCAATGCGATCTTCAACATTGTACTAAAGAACCAAGATGATGCACCGAAACCCACAACTCCAAGGTCCCATGACAACCATGCGTAGCTTTGTGCCCATTACCTGGAACGCCACGCTCTTTCTGTCCACGGTAGCGGTACCCGGGTACTTAGGTGTCGTTTTCACAATTTGGACAAAAGTGTCAGGAACATCCACGGCCACCTCCCTCCCGAGGAGCACTGGCGTCGTGTCAAATCCGGGAGGAAGCTTGTACGACGCGTACACAGCCTCCCTGATCAACACAGAATCTGTCCGTGCCGAGTATGTAACCCCCTCTCTGCAATCTATCAAAGAATCCTCGCCGTTTGATATTAGGAGCTGGATTTTATGGTCGCTCAAATTGTGAGTATTGTTTGAGGCGACAGAATCGGATCGTTCCGAGTTAAGGTCTCCACATTTGGCTGTTTCTGAGGATCCTTTGCTTTTCTTGCTACCGAAGCTACCGGAGCCATCGGAGCTTTGTGGAAGGGATAGAAGTTCTATGGTGCTGTTGTTCTTGAAGCTGCCTGACCCGTCGGAGCTGGGTGTAGAGATGTCAATAGTGTGCAGAACTGTGCTTTGCTTGCTGCCAAAGCTGGTGCCCGAGCCACCGGAGGAGAGAAGAGGCTCATCATCCCTGGAGGTCCGAAGGCGTACCTGCGGGGGCCGAGGAGGCGGGTAGCGGGGAGGCGTTTTGTTCCTCGCGATGAAACTGTCCGGAACGTCCACCGCCATCTCACGGTGGGGACCTGAAAAGTAACATTACAAAATGAGAATGTGTCTATAATAAAAAATAAGAAAGTTAGCAGCTAGGTATAACAAGTATTTTAGCTTGATCTTATTATAGTATCTATTGGAGCTCCTGACTTTCTGGAGTTGCAGTGGATTCGGCACATAACTAACTTTTACAAAAGCTTACTTTTGATTTCTTAAGTATAAAATAATTCAGTATCTGAACTTAATAATCTCATGTGAAGTGCATTAAGTGTTTGCCAGTGATGACCTTTATGATGATTTTCTTCCTACCCATAAGCACCTCTGACAAATACCTTAAATATTGTAACTATTATTATGCGTTCAGTTACCACAACCTGCCCTACAGAATCTGCTGCAAAATTCAATTATCATTATTGTTCTCCAGCCGGTGACCCGACAAATAACCGCATGCGATGACTAGCCTTATCTACTAATTACATGAAACACTCTGGCCTGAAATATCTCGGATATTTATTACCCTTTGTTTAACGATAGGTATTCATGTTTCGAAAAGATAACGGAGGTATGGTTATTTTTATTCTACGTTTCTAAGGAAAAAATGCATGACCGATACCTAATAGCCTAACAGAAAGTAAGCGACACAAGTCCACACAGGATTTAGAAAAAATCGCATAAAAAGGCATCGCCATCTAGTCTACATTTTTGGAAAATTTGTCCTCTTTACGTGCAACGAAAAATAGATGGCACTGTATCGCTACAATTTCGCTGATACTTATGTAGATACGGAAGAAGTTTAAAAAACACATTTGTGTTTTAAAAATTAGGTACTGCATTAAGTTATTTTAATGTCAGCTTTACAGGCATGTTGTATTCGATACTAACCTTATTATCGACCTCAATACACTAGCATTTATCATGCTTCTTAGTATAACTAGGATAATGTAAGCTTTGATACTAACACTAGGCGTTATATGGGCAGCCCGATGAAAAATTGTTAAAATATTTAAAGAAATTTTCATCGGGCTGTCTAATGTGAATTGTAGTTCTAAGTCTGCCACGAAATACATAACTACGTATTATTTAAATAAGTGAACAATCCGAATTCAATCTAAGTTAATTATAATTACATCTATACTTGTCTTCCTCAGTTTTTGCCCCATTGTCTAGTAAAGGCCAGTCGAAAACAAAAACTAATGAAATAATATGTTTGAGGTCTTCTAATCTAACAAAAAATTAGGAATAAATGGCTATTCTTGGTTGGTTGGCTATTGTTTTGTATCACTTTGATTTCATTCTGTACGTGAAAGATAATAAATCTTCTGAACAGACAAAAAAATTTCGCAATTGAATTTATATAAATGTATTAAGTATAGAGAATAAAGTGTCCAATTGAGTAAAGGAAATATGCAGTATTTTAACCTGACTATGAAACACGGGTTAGTTAAAGTAAACTTAATCAAGAAAATTTGTCTGTAGTCAGACCTAATTTGAAAGTCAATAAAGAGACGTCTTCAAAAATTCGAACTTACAAATATGGAATCCTAATTCAAACTAACACAACGGCAACGAAACGAAATTATTCAGAAAACACAAAAAGCCCGTAACAACGCGGATCCAGGGAGTTTTGTCAAAAAATTAATGAACGCCTGAATTAATATCAGGCTGAATTACTGAGTACCATAGCGCGACGAGAATTTTTTAAAAGTTACCGTTTTTCATGATTTTTAATCTGGCACCTTGTTGGGCGGCGGACGGAATATCAATGTATGATAAAACCTTTTTTCCGTCGTCGCTTTTTGACAGTTGAAAGCTTTCAATTTTAAGTATTTTAACTGAAATGTTCTTTTCCATTAGTTAGTAGGGTTTGGCCTCTTTCCCAGGACAAGATAAACATAAAAAACAATGGAATAATAATGCTTGCTATTGCCTAGGTAGACAGGTAGGTAAATTAATCTCTCATCATGATCATAACACAACACAACATTATAACAAAATAGTCCTTAATTAATATAAAGAACAAGCACACAAACTCGTGCTTTCAGTCAATAGTGAAGACTAACTTTCTTTTTAGTTTGGACGATAAAGAAACAGTTTTATAGTAAAAGTCGTAAAATATGCTTACCGGTATCAGATGTGAGTGAGAGCATCGTGAGCATGTCTTTGTCGTCATCCGGGGGCGGTCGCTTTTCCTCTTCGGCTCCTAGGACCACTATGCTCGACCCAGATCGCCTGCGCGGCCTGGAATGTTACAAATAATACATATGAATATTATATTTATGATAACAAACATTAACATATTTGAAAATCGAGGCACATCAATCAGAATTAGTGGGCATTTCGTTTAACTAGTTTATGTGCGCATAAAGTTGTAAATCCTAAGGACCAGATTTGGTCCTTCGGTACAATTTCACGTTAAACACAAAAATACTCATATTGAATTTTTCCACCAATAAAACACTCACTAAAGATATAAATTTAAACAAAGACAACGTTTTCATGACCTTCTATCGTGCTGTCTCGCTTTTTATCAAGACATTTAGCTATCTTTCATCTGGTTCTGCAACCTTGTCAGTGTCGTCATTAAAGAAGGCAATTTAATAAAAAAGCTGAAGTGAAATGCTACCAGCAATGAATATCGATATGATTATTCCTACCGGGAACAGAAAGCATTCATAGACAGCGAAGAACTTTCGAGAAAAAAAGTCGTATCGCTCTGTGCAGCGATGCACATACCGCATACCGTTCTGCGTAAACTCGCAAAAAATGTAGTAAACTGCAAGTTATCCAGCATGATTCGAACGCAGATATTTTTCTCAATAACTTAAAGCATTTCTTCGGTGCTTATAAAAAGGTAAGTTGGTACCTAACGCTAATAAGAATGGTCACATCAATATAGTTAGATAAGAGCCAAATTAGAATAAGAATATAAAAACATATTTACTAACAATAATTGATAAACTTCATCCAAAAACAAGAGGAAACTTGAATACTCCATCAAGTGCAGACAAAGAACAAGTACATAAGTAATAAAATAATTAGCAATAAAAATAAGAGTCATTACAAAATAACAACAATGAAATAAAAAAAACTACGTTTAAAAAAACCGACTTCAAAAACAAAAAAGTGTCAAATAATTAAAATAGATATTTTAATAGCACTCTTACGTACGCGAAGCTAATACGTTTAATATTAATAATAAAACACTATCAACTCTATGTGCTACCTATTCATAGGTTTAAAGTCGGTGCCAAGCCTAATACATAATATTATAAGCATTTGATTGATGGCCTTAGCGTAGAATCAGAAGTCTATATTGTTTTGTTACATGCAAAATTATATATAGCTTAGAAAGATATTCGGGTGAAATATGAATTCTAAAAGTTTTCTCGTACTTAACGTAACTCGTGGGTTGTTAAAAGTAGTAGTAGGTAGGTTCGTTGCTGGTTGTGGAAATTTCGTCCTTTAGCAGTTAAACAGTCTTAATTCTCATTTAGTTTTATTCTGTTTAGGGCTTGGCACCGACTTCAAACCTATGAATAGGTAGCACATAGAATTGATAGTGTTTTATTATTAATATTAAAAGTATTAGCTTCGCGTACGTAAGAGTGCTATTAAAATATCTATTTTAATTATTTGACACTTTTTTGTTTTTGAAGTCGGTTTTTTTAAACGTAGTTTTTTTTATTTTTTACTTTTTAGTGTCTGTTACAAGTTCTTCTGTAAACTACAGTAACATTTTAAATATAAATTAACATATTGAATAGTATATATATATTTTAAGTAGCTATGTGTAGGCCTGCGAAAGGAGCCGCTCTATTAAAAAATATGGATCCCAAGAAATGGGAAAGTTCTCATCATCATTATCATCATCATCATCATCATCAGCCTTTTTAATGTTCCCACTACTGGGTCACAAGCCACCTCTCTAGGAGAGGGAAAGTTCTTATCAATATAAACAAATTAAGTCCAAACACGAGGTCGCTACTGTAAACCGTTGAGGAGTTCCCTAGACTGTCCTTCGTCTTGATCTCTAATGATAGTCACAATCCATCTAGATGTAAAGTTATTATCAAAACCAATTAATTAAGCTCAAACACAAGGAAGCTGCTATGAATCGTTGAGGAATTCCCTCGACTGTCAATGGTCTCCATCGTCAGGTACACTGCAGACCTTCAGTTGTTATAATCCATACAGGTACAAAGTTTTCATCAACATAAATGAATTAAGTTCAAACACGAAGTAGTTACTGTACACCGTTCAGGAGTTCCCTGAGCTGTCCTTAGTTCTCATCATCAGAAAATTAATGATAGTTACGACCAAGTCTGGTGCAAAGTGCTCGCCAATACGAATCATTCAAGCCCAAACACAAGGCAACTGCTCCAAATAGTCAAGGAGATCCCTCGACTGTCTTCCAGCTCCAACATCTGGTCGACTTCGACCTTCGTCAAGTTGTAGTGTTGTTAAAGGCCTACTTAAACATCATACAAAAAAACTACTTGCCCCTACAATTTTCGAAAGTTCCCCTCGGTTTCTCCAGGATTCCATCATCAGGTCCTGACCTCATGACAATGGGACCAAATGGCAAGTATACCCTATCGAATAAAAAAAAAATTTTGCAAATCGGTCCAGGCGTCTTCGAGTAATCGGTGTACATACATAAAAAAAAAAAAAAAAAAAAAAAAAATACTCGTCGAATTGAGAACCTCCTCCTTTTTTGAAGTCGGTTAATAAAAGGAAGCGCGTCCGGCAAGAGACGGCTAACGTGACGGACCGGGAGCAACGGTGTGAGACTTCACGCAGACGTAACTAAACACGTTACGTTACGTAACGGACTCAGAGTAATTATGTCGTGGTACGTGGTTTTTGCTTTCCAGGGAGAGATGTATGTGTTAAGTCCGTGCGATTTATGATAGTAAGTAAAAGATACTTAAAGGGTTAAATTTTATACCAAATTGTGTTAGAAATTCAATTTGAAAAATATAACTCTCATAATTATAGTCGAAGATAATGGAGTAAATTGTTTTGTTATGATTCATTCATTAATATTTATTGACGATGAGATATTTATTGTTACAGGAAATAAAAAAGAATACAGGAAAATTAAAACATTATTCCTTAGAGGTTGACCATAGATAAGTTTGAATAAATCATTTCTCATAATTATTCTTCCTGAATATGTCGAAAAATTGACAAATCCACATTCTATACATATTTTTCGAAACGACTTATTCGTTGATTTTCTGCGTCGTATCGATACTCTTCGACACAGGCATCGTATAATTAGACCCAGATTCAGCAGTTTTCAGACCATAGTAATGAAACCAGAACATTTTGCTACTAGAAGTTCTAGAAAATTTGCCTTTTTAGAACTAAACTTACACAATCTCGTCGAAAAATCATTGATGAAATAGAAATAAGCGAAATAATTTAGTCTATATAATATAGTAGAAATTAGAAAATAATGCAGGTTTAGATCGTTTGAGTGTGAATTTTATTTTAAATCTTACAGAATCCTCACCTTTGCAGATCATACAACAAATTGAAAATCATGTCTACAATATTTAAAGTTTTCTATGATCTTTTGTAGGTGCAAGAATAATCACCTTTCAGCCTCTCTAAAACATGAATATAACTTTACAAGTATTGTGTATTCAAATACTTATTTGTCTTTAAACATAAGTCAAGTGTAAGTTAATTGTCTATTTGTCTGTCAGACATTGAGTAATGGCTGAAAGAAAACATAGTGACAAACTAAAAGGTAATATATTTAAACATTTCTAGCTAGACAAACGATAAAGATGGATCTAAGAGACAATATCTATTCGCTTAGAATTATCAATGTAAATAAATAATGTGGATAATTTAATTTTGTTTTAAAATATATTGTGGATATTTATTTCATTTGTTACTATATCTTCAAGAAATCTTATTTCGTTTGACTGGGATGATTAAGCTCGTTGTGTCATTGCATCAGAGTATAAATAAATAAAATCATACTGTAAAAACGTCTTTAAAATTGCGAATTCTTAATTTTCAGTTATTATATTTACATTACAAAAGTATTATAATTTACCACACAAAAATTAAAATGAATAAGCTTAATGTCAAAGTAACATCCATAAAGAAAGATGGCTACCCCGGCCATGCAGGCGAGAATATTGTCAAACAATATGAATGATTATTACGGCTAATCCCGTCGGTAAACTGCTTACTTTTATTATCTGCGCGATGCCCGGGTGAGGGAATAAAACGCACGACCTATCGTTTGGTACAATATACAATGTAAATCTCACGAAAGTAAAAAATGTACTAAAGGACCACGTTTGGTCTTTTATCTCAAATCGTATGATGTTTTTTTTCTTTGTATATTTTGGAATGATCGATATTTATTTCCAAGAAGCATATGTTAGCTTATCTTTCTGCACGCTCCTTTAAATCGATTATATGTATTCAAGACGATAAATCGAAATCTTGTGTGTAATCGGTATGAGTCACAGACTTTGATCAATCGTTAAAATAGTACATCTGAGAAATTTTGTACAGAAAGAGGTTAGAAAACAATGGATGACGAACAAAACAATATTTTTATAATCAATGATTTTAAAGACACTAGTTGTAATGAACAAGAGACATCACGCGTTTACATTGCACCACACCCCAGGGTCCAATATTTCCAATTTCAACGGGACCCATAAAATAAAACTGACTACTGCGACCATCCGTCCGCTCAGGCCGGGAATTCCACACGTAAACTATTAATGTTAGGTCAATAGTTCAGGACTGTAGGGAAAGGGTGCGTAGGCGAATGTTTTATTTGCTATCGAAACGGAAAACTGGCTCTGTGTTTTATTTGCTTATTTTTTCTTGAGTTATTTATGTGCGAACTACTTTATGGTTGTCGCAGATTGTCGCTACAATACCTTTAGAAAGTTCACCGACCTCCTGATCTTAATCACACGGGTGCTGGACTATGTTTAACTCATATTCATTTAAGTTACTTATAATATTTAAATTTGTATTTGAACTTTGCAATAGTTAACAAATTGTCTATCCAGTGCTACATTAAGAAAACTCGAAGGCCATGTTTATCCTGATAAAACATTTATATAGTAAACTAGCTATTGTTACTGTTTTAGTAGGAGAAGGTTGTCACGTATTGCACAGGGAATCTTATTTCATGTAATTGTTATGTAACCCCACTGGATACATATTGAGCTGTACTTAAATCAACTACAATTATGCTTGCAATAAAAAAAACTCATATTTATAAATATTTGAAACAAACGTCATGGCTAAATCGCCATCTTGAAGAAACAAATCAGAACATGGTTACCCTAAGGGGCACAGCTTCTGTATCCCGGCTCAAAGGATCAGCATGAGGTGCAATTATCAAAAGCCTGCTGGCAGTCGCGCTCGGCTTCAGTCTAAATAGAATACTAGTGAAATCTGTCGTTCCGTTATTTTTTCGCATTTTAGCATGGCTGTCGCGTTTTGTATGCGGATTTGGAAAATGAAAATGTGTCTGAATTTTTTAAAAAGGAACATCGTGTGTTTCAACTTTGAGCCGAGATTGAATATTATGCTCTCATGCCCAGGTCGAAGATAGTATTGGAGTTTTTTGAGCATCAATAATCATAATAAACTATCAACATTTAAGGATACGAAAGGCACAAGGGCACTTGTTGCATCGTACATCAGCGTAAGTTGCACCGATTGGCACCGATTTAATTTAACAGTATTATTCTTTGAAACCATTACGTAACGGTAAATGTAGTGCACGCAAAATCCTATTTATTATAATCGCTATTCGATTTTTATCGATTTGCGGTTGTTCGACTGTCGTGGTTGGTGTTAATGAACTATTGTGAGAGAAAATACTTGTATCGAAACTTTATAATATCCATTGTTGTATTACATAATTGAGTGAATGCTTGTATTTACCAACTAGTCATACTGAAAAGTAACATTTTAAACTATCCTACTTATATTATATATGCGAATTGGAAAGTGGTTTGTTACTCATTTACGTAAAAACTACTGAACGGATCTCTTTGAAATTTAAGACAGGGATAGGTTATACTCTTTAATTACACATCAGCTGCTTTTTACCTAGGTACTGTTTGCTAAGCTGCTGGCAAATGCTACATAGTTTGAAATACACTCGAATCTACTGAAATTTTGATTTACATTTACTACATTTACTAGATATTATATTTGGACTACATTAAGAATAAATCTCGAACTATAAAACTATAGCTTTACGTATGACTAGATAACAGACTGTTTCTCACAAACGGCTTCACATAGTACCTTCCTGTCCCCTACGTATAGGAAGCGGCCTCAATAGTACGCGATAATAGGCCGGCCTCAGTCCAAGAGAAGCTAGGGGCTATTGTGTGCTGACCCGGTTTGTAAACCTATAACGATGTGCAGAAGCAGATTATCGTAGCTTGCACCTGGAAAGCTATTGAGCAGATCTTTTAGGTTTGATTAGAAAATAAAACATTTAGGATCGTGTTTCGAGGAAAAACCTGTAAAGTACCGAAGGACCAACTTTGTATGGTCCTTTTATTCGTGTTGACAGTTAAATACACAGTCCTTTGTAACTGTAGTGTGATACTTAAATAACCTGAAACCATTCAATCCAATTATAAGATTAGCTCAATTAATCAAATAAAACCCGATTACTTAACCATTAAAAGCAAGAACCTAGAACAAACCAGTTCACAATTCGCTGTAACAAACAGTTACGTTTAAACTAACACCTATGTATGTCGAAATAATATAATATTTTCTGATGAAAGCCGGCACCACAATGCCTAGTTACACCGGCGTTATGCGATAGTGTCGCTCTGACACGTCCGACAGGTTCTCGGGAAATATATATAAAGATGTATGCCACAGTCTTATTGTTACAGATACATCTATCTTATATTGTTACCCCACATTGTGTACCAACGACAACGTTTATACTGCAGTGAAATTGAAGTGACTTGAAAAGGATTCGATTCAATACGGGTTCTGTTCAGTTCGATGGATGGTGGAGCAATTTGCTCTAAACATATCCTTATTCTAACTCGACGTGAAAATATCTACAAAGAAGTATAATAGATTATTTTTCTATTTCAAATTGTCATGGAATTAAGGAATATTTTTTAGTAACGTTGTTACCAATTGTAATTACGACGTACTTAAATTAACGTTGTTAATATACTTATTACTTGTTCTTTCTTTTCTGTTATCTTTGTTGAATAGAGCAATCTTAAAAACATTCATTCCGAGAAAGGGAAGTAGCAGTGTCTCAACTTAAAATTACAACTATAGAACTATAAAACCTTCTTAGACTATTAACTATCGTCTAAACCAGCTATGCAAATACATATTCCAATTATTGACAAGAGTACCTCGGCGTGATCGTCGGCTGTCTACACACACATACATCCTAGGATGGAGCTCAGAGACCTAACAATGGGTATTGTGTGACTTGTCTTGAAACACACGTGTTTGACATTCTCCAGCTTAAATGTAGCTGAGATTGTATCATCACCATTGTGTTGTAAAATGTCCGAATTGACTGTCTCTCAAGTTTGAACACTGAATGAATAGTTTGATTGAATGATTTGTCGATATTTGCTTGTTTTGTTTTGTTCTCTGTTTTATTTGTATTTGTTTAATATATTTTAATATCTCTAATTTATAGGAGAGATGTGGTCTTTCTACAATATGATGGTGAGGTTTTTAAAATTGTTAAATCTTCTGCGTTAAAATATATTAATATTTTAAAACCCAAATAAAATGAGGTATTGGTGGTATTGAATTGAATTTGTTACCTATGAAATTAAAAAAAAAATCGTATTGTATAATTTAAAATAGATGGTGCTTACAAAATACACACAGTTATCTAGACAAATGTTATAACGAACTACTAAAGCAACTATTATTAATCCATGTATAAATACAGGAGGGAAACAGATACTAGAATAGTTTGTGGGTCAGCAGGTGTGAGACCCCTATTACGTAAGCAAAAAGGTTCAGAGTTATTGGAAAACTGTTCCGAAAACAGTATACGTTCCCTTTTCAAGTAGATACTATGAAAATATCGAGACATTTAGGAACAGGCAAAAATTTGAATATTTGTGTAAGAGTATGGGTTGAATTGAGTCAGATTCAGATTTATTTATTTGCATAAACATGTGTACAAATAGATGTTACAAAATAATTTAAGGCTCAACATGTTTGACCATTGCTGGTGTGCAAATTAGGTTGAAAGTAAATACAATTTAAAAAAATTACAAACATAAATAACAAACAATTAAAATTAATATTAAATTCAATAGTTTCGCCAGTATAATTGTGCAGTATAAAGTGAATAGAATATAATATTATGTCAGTAAGCTTAGAGCGATTTATCATTTAAAAATTCATTAACATTATAATAGGCTTTTTCTACCAGTATTTTCTTAAAAGTTTTCTTAAATTGATCTGTATTTAACGTTTTAATGCAATGAGTATAATAGAATGTTAAAAGATTTCAGAAATTTTATGTTACG